TATATATATATATATACATCGTAAGCAAATATATTGGGCAAGATGAGAGCTCAGAATGACTCTCAGCTACTACTAAAACAATTTTTTAGCTCAATATCTTTAAAAGGAGCTGATTTAGAGACATTTGGGTGTTGTGCTGCCTCCAAATATGTATGTGTTGTATACCGGTATGTACATATAATTTCCTTCTGAAAGTTTCATTCAAATATGCTGAGTAATTGATATTTTGCTAACATAACACACACAGACACCAACAAAAACATTATTGCCCTTTTGTATTTAGCTGCTGACACTTTTCCATTTTAATAATGTCCAACTTTCACTTCAAAACCATCTTTACTTCAATGATCTAAATAAATCAGATTTGTTTAAATAAATAACTTTCTAAATTTTTTYCCCCCATCCCTTTAGTTGAGTTGTCATATGTAATTAGTGTATTGCCTCAAGGCCAATAAATCTTTCCATAAAGCAGGAAATCTGGCACATGTTAAAAGCTGCATATTTGATAACAGGCACACCTGTTCAGAGCTGGGCTGAATAACCGAAAAAGTCCTTTGCATCTGTGTCTCTGACATCACAGCTAATCCACCAAATGAGTGAAAAAGTCTGCCTCTCATCTCTCTCAGTGATGGCACCCTTTAATGAGTTGTCTTTTGATCTGGTCTTTGAATATATCATAATGTTTTCTGCAGAGCCAACCAACCAACAACGGGATAAAATGTCCAGCAGTGGACACGTCCTTCAGGCTTTTATTGCTTCTCAATAATTCCAACAATCAAAAAAGTAGTTCAGCTGCTCGCTGAAGAAAAGTAGATCTGAAAGCTGAATGGGAAACCAAAAATAAATATTCCATGCTTGCTGAAAATCATTCATATTTCCATCTATCTTCTTCACCTCTTTTCCGGGTCAGAGGGAGCTGGTGTCTCTATCAGGAAGTCACTGGGTGACAGGCGGGACAGGTCATCTATCAGTGCCACATAGAGACAAATGACACAAGCATTCACACTCTCACTCTCAACTAGAAACAATTTAGAGTTACTAATTACCCTAACATTTATGYTTTTGGTTCGTGGGATGAAACCGGAGTACACRGAGAAAACACGCATTCACATCAAGAATCCATCCATCTTAAGTGTCCCTGGTGCTTACGTCCAGCAGTCACTGTTATAAGTAGGGTACACCCTGGACAGGTCGCAGTCCATCACAGGGCCACCTAGAGACAAACAAGAAAAACAACCTCATTCTCACCCACACCGAGGGACAATTTAGAGTTAACCTAATATGCATGCATGTTTTTTTTTGAGGGAACTGAAGTACCTGGAGAAAACCCACACAGGAGCAACCTGCAAACWGAAGATCTTTGCAGTCAAATGTGTGTAAAGAGAAACTGCTTAAACTTATTTTGTCTCATTTATTTTTAGATCAATAAAATGAAGCTCTTGTGTTGCATGAATTTTAGATTATTTTAGATTATTAGATAAAAAGGTAAATAAAATAAAATAAAAT